CAAATATAAAAAAAAGTTTAGTCCAGTCCGCTTTAAGAAGGTCCGGTTACTTCATTTTCAATTTCTCCATTTTAAAGTTTAAAATGTGTGAGGTAGTTCGCTTAATAAAGTGAAAATGAAACATTTCTTCCATGATTTATATTCCTTTTCTGAATTTAATACCTGGCTTCACGGTATATGAACGAGTAGAAATGAAATATTCACGTAATTGGTGCAATTCTGGAATCTACAGATATAAAGTTTGTATATGATGTGTAGGTAATGGGTCATAATAACAGTCATTAAAGTCAATTTAGAGAATGCATGGTATGAGTTGCTGTCACTGTATTCAGATATTTAATGCAATGTTTATGGATCATAAACACACACAATTTAACGAAACACATATGTACACAAACACACACACAATTGCAAGGAACAATCAACTACTGCGGTGAAATGGTTCAAAATGTATAACATTCATAACACGAGTATATCAGCCAAACAGCATACCATATACTCAACGAACACATATACAAAAGAAAGAGAGACAGAAGACGCAAACACATACGCACAAATATGCACAAAAAAACAACAACAAAAAAACACAGCACACGAAATGACATACAACAAAGAAATGCGCTAACACAGCCTCCTCATACAAAAAAACAACAAAAAAACACAGCACACGAAATGACATACAACAAAGAAATGCACGAATACAGCCTCCTCATACAAAAAAGACAAAAAAACACACACATTATCTCTCCCAAAAAAGGAAAACCACGATAATTTTCTCCAATTATTCTCAACATCCTTTCCTCTTTCCCTTTCTGCATATGTGTTACATTTATGAACGGGAGAGAGAGAGAGAGAGAGAGAGAGAGAGAGAGAGAGAGAGAGAGAGAGAGAGAGAGAGAGAGAGAGAGAGAGAGAGAGAGAGAGGACGGGGGAGATGTACAAACCAAAAAGACAATCTATGAATACTTAAAACGTCGGAATGAGGGAGCAAAAAGATCCCATGATAACAGCAGCTCATAAACCTCCTTCCTTCCCCTTTCAGAAAATGCCCTGGATCCAGAACGTGGCAGATAGGTAGATAGATAGATAAAGATAGAGATAGAGAGATAAAAAGATAGATAGATAGAGACAGATAAATAGATAGATAGAGAGATAGAAAGATAGATCGATAGAGACAGATAGATAAACAGATAGATATAGAGAGAGTAGTATAGAACAAGAAAACAATCAAATCCCGTGACAACAGCAACTCATAAACCCCCTTCCCTCACCTCCCGCAGGTGTCCTGGATCCGCGACGCCGACCTGCACATCCTGACGGTGGCGCAGTACACCTACACCGCCGACGACAGGTTCGAGGTGATCCATTCCCCGGATTCCAACTCCAACTCCTGGATTCTGAAGATCAAGTCCGTTCAGCCGAGAGACTCAGGTCGCTACGAGTGCCAGGTCAACACGCACCCGACTGACCCCATCACGTTCCCCGTCTACCTGTCCGTCTTTGGTCAGTCGATACGATTTCATTCGCTTCTCTGTTTTCTTGGGGGAGTCTTTTGTTTATTCCTTTACGCACGTTCTGTTTGTTTGTGTATATATATTGATTTATGCATATATTTATTCATTTATTCATTTATCTATTTGTCTGCTTATTTATTTAACTTATTTATTTATCTATTTATTCGTACATTGATTAATTCAGTTATTCATTTATTTGTTTGTTTAATCTTTATCGAGCTTTTTATTTATTGATTGCATTTTGAAGATTAGTACTGGAATTTAGTTGCATGTACATATATTCATGGATTTCTTCCTTCTTCGTTTTTCTCTTATTTGCTTGGTAAATATTACACACCATTTACCTCTTTGCTATATATTTCCGTCTTTTGTGAAAACCTCTCCAACAAGATATCGTATGTCTTTTGACCCTATCACTTCCCCCGTAAATATTTATCTTGGTTTAGTACAGTAAATATAATGTTACACAACATTCCAGTTTTGTAGCTTTTGGAGTCGTTATTATGATGCAACTTTGATGTATATATTTTTACATTTAGTTTAATCAGTTTTCAAAGACTATCACCGTGTCTTTGAAGTTCGTATTTCTCGTATTTCTATTACTTAAAATTTTGTCCCGTTTTTGTCCAGTGAAATAGCATGGCATCAAGTTACCTTTTTAATAAAGTGAACGTGCGTGAAGTGCTCGTAATGGCAGTGGTTAATATCTTATCAGACGGTAATTGAATGGGTTATAGCTGGGTGTGTAAGTACTTCATCACACAGAGCTTTTACCCCCGTATTCCTTATATATGACATGCCACTATGCTGTTATTCCAGAGCGTCCATTTAGCACAAGAGAAAATTATAAGTGGTGAGGTGTATTTGGGTACTTAATTATAGTCGTATATAAGCTAAGTCCGTTTGTAATTGTGTTTGCATGTTTATGGCTCTAAATTCTCGTAGCTTTGATAACCACAAAAAACATCATTCGCTTTTCTGATTTCCATTTTGCTTCACTATTTTCACTGGCTCAGGAAAACCGAGAGTTAGTGGTAAAATTAGCATGTGTGTATTTCATCTATTTCTTTTTATTACCCTTCTTTTACTGTGTGTTTTATGCGAGTCGTTATATACTGACTTATAACACTTTGTTTCTAACATCAACAAACTTTTTTTCTTTAATCAAGGCAGAAAAGTTTATGCAAAAGTGTGAAAACTAACACCATTACACTTGGTTTTCATATTCACGTTATGCATTTTAGATATGTAGAGAAACTCGAGTTGCATTACATACCCTGCAATTTGTAATAATTCTTTCCAAAATAACAGTGGTTAAAGATGGAGTATGTAAGTTGCTTTCAAAATTACGACGCATAAGAGACGCAGGCGGACAGAGAAAAAGAGGAAGAGAGACGTAAATAGGTAAATAAGTAGCTAGATAGATACATACATACATGCATATCTCTCTCTCTCTCTCTTTATATATATATATTATATACACATCTCTCTCTCTCTCTCTCTCTCTCTCTCTCTCACTCTCTCTCTCTCTCTCTCTCTCTCTCTCTCTCTCTCTCTCTCTCTCTCTCTCTCTCTCTCTCTCTCTCTCTCTCTCTCTCTCTCACTCATTCACTCACTCACTCATTCACTCACTCACTCTCTCTCTCTCTCTCTCTCTCTCTCTCTCTCTCTCTCTCTCTCTCTCTCTCTCTCTCTCTCTCTCTCTATATATATATATATATATATATATATATATATATATATATATATATATATATATATATATATATATATATATATATATATATATATATATATATATATATATACGTATATATATATATATATATATATATATATATATATATATATATATATATATATATATATATATATATATAATGTAAAAACACACACACACACTTATCCATCTATCTATCTATCTACACACACACACACACACACACACACACACACACACACACACACACACACACACACACACACACACACATATATATATATATATATATATATATCTATATATATATATATATATATATATATATATATATATGCTATGTTATGCTTCACTGACAGACAGACAGTAAAACTGACAGACAAGTAGACATACTGACAGGAAACCAGGCTATATGACAAACAAAGAGACAGCCTATCAGACAGAAAGACAAAACAGCCAGCCAAAGAAAGCAAACAGCAAAAGAACGAAAAAAATAAAGAAAAAGAAAACGAAAAGAAAAAAAATTCAAACCACCAAACAAGTAATGGGATTGTGTTGTGCTCCATCGATCTGTCTTCTTCCTCTTGTCATTCATGAAATTCTATAGCCTGTGATTGGTTTTTGGAAACGGCTTATCAGATCTCTATCAGGTTATGAGATTACCAATTAAATCAAGGCTATAGTCGATGCCTTGAGTTCCATATTTAATGTGGGTAATCAGATAAGTACATGATATGGGATAGGAGATGGTATAGAAAGATCGGATGAAAAGATCTTGTTAATAGGATATTTATGAAGGACTTAAGTTACGTGATATAAAGAGAGGAAGAGAGAGAGAGAGGAAGAGAGAGAGAGGAAGAGAGAGAGAGGAAGAGAGAGAGAGGAAGAGAGAGAGAGGAAGAGAGAGAGAGAAAGAGAGAGAGAGGAAGAGAGAGAGAGGAAGAGAGAGAGAGGAAGAGAGAGAGAGGAAGAGAGAGAGAGGAAGAGAGAGAGAGAGAGAGAGAGAGAGAGAGAGAGAGAGAGAGAGAGAGAGAGAGAGAGAGAGAGAGAGAGAGAGAGATAGAGATAGAGAGAGAGAGAGAGAGAGAGAGAAGAGAGAGAGAGAGAGAGAGAGAGAGAGAGAGAGAGAGAGAGAGAGAGAGAGAGAGAGAGAGAGAGAGAGAGAGAGAGGGGAGGGGGAAGAGAGAAAAAAGAAGAAAGAGAGAGAGAGAGAGAGTTTACTAATATATTCACACGGATATAGTAAAATGCAAGTTTCTCGTAAAGGAAGCTTTTGAAAAGATCCATACCAAATTTTGTTGCTTATGTGTTCTGATGTTGGACAATTTACAGTCATATGAAACGTGATATGTTTATGGAAATTCCATCAATAAAGCATATTTACAGCCATATCTGACAGTAATACAGATGTGGTTTACAGTGAATATAGTTTGCAGGGAATATGGCATACAATACCTTTACATGAAAGAGACCTTGTGCGCTAAACAAAACCTCGATTTGGAAAAATTACCTTCCTTTTATTTCAAAAGAGGGTAGCCGGAATTACATGAATTTACATATTTTGTTGAGCTGGCAAGATTTTTTTCAAACTAATCTAGTTCATGATATTTAGCTTATAGTATTATTAAGGTGATTAGAGACTTGAGACGAATATAGTGAAATGTGGCAAATCAAGACCGTAGACTTTATTCGAGTGACAACGTGATTCGGTTATTAATTTTCATGATAATTTTGTTATACTTCAGCTAGTTTTCAAAAACACGCGG